GCACCAGTCTTCCGGCACAGCCCGAAATTTAGTTTCTGACTCCTCCCGCACCTCATTTCCTTCCTCCACCTCTCTCCCTAAGTTATATTTGGGAGGTGAGAGAAGATTTATTTCTTAACTGTTTCAACAGCTATAATTCAAGTAGGTTTTAAAAAAACCCCTTTGTTCCTCATGCTTCCTGCCTCCAAAATAGGTGTTATTAAAGTATAGAGAGCTCTAAATACGTTCCTATGGTTTATACTTCCCACCAGTTATAATGATTGGTGACTTAGTGATTAAAAAACAGAAGGACTTTTCGCTCTCTCTGCAGAATCTGAGGCAGGAATTTTTATTATTTGTGTTTACTTATTTATTTATTGAATTTATATAGTGCTTTTTCTCCAAAGGAGCTATAGAAATGGCAACAAATATGTAACATCCAAACGTCATCACTTAGTTTTATAACAATAAAATATAGAGGCCTGGGGGGAGGGCAGGCAGCCCTGATTGAAGCATTTAAAAGGCAGGGAGCTCTAGGACCGTGTGAATTCTTATCTCATAGACAAGATACCCAAGTTTGCTTCCTTTAGTTTTTCTCGGGTAAAAGAGGAAAAAGAAAATTAAGCACATTGACCTTTCTCGTCTTCCTTTTCTCCTAAAAGATACCATGGCCAGCGGGGTAACCTTTAAAATCCAAGTACTTTTCTCCGGCATCCCATGGATCCTGTTCCTTGAATGCTGTGCTTTTCTCTGATGGAATTGCTAACATTTTTAAGGCCCAACTAGATCTTATCAGAAGGAGGAAGAAAGGAATTCGGTTTATCCTTATTGAGTGTTAATGCCCCTGTAAGATGTAATTTCTTTTATTTTATTCTGTTACCTAGAAAATCCATCACAGTCTTGTAGTATTGATTGTTCAATCTATAAAGAGCTCAGTTTACAGCATGACTGTTAGTAACAGGGTTATTTTAATGAGCGACTCTTCAACACCTCAGATTTTCACTAAATTTTAACCCATCAGCCTAACAGTCTAACACTAAGGGTCTTCAGTGATGGGAACTTATCTCCCTTCTTGATCATGAAAAGATAATGTCCAGGTAACCAAAAATGAAATTCACTCTGTGCTGTTTGTATTTAAATTTGCTTGGGTGTGCCATGTCAAATAAAAAGTAGCTCTGGAAGTACAAATCATCTTTAAATACATCAAATCCCTGACCAAGGAGGACCCTGAAACAGGTTTTTTTCACTGTGAAATTGTGGGCAAACTAAGCCAAAGAGACAGACCACACTATTGTGGTCTTATAAGCAAATGGTTGCTTATAAGCTTTCCATCTTGGAGGCATTCTTCCCACTTCCGTGCATGACAGCAGCATGAACTGTTACACAGAAGAAACGGGGGGAAGCCACAGAGTTCTGTGCAGCTCTTACCTTTCCAGACCTATTTCCCAAGAGCAAATGAGTTCATCACCAACCAGCTAAAAATTTGGCCCAATAAAAAGAGAAAACGAGATGAAAATCAGGATCTATGAGTGTTTCCCACAACCAAATCATACTTCTCACAGGAAGGACCATAGTTCTTTCAAAACTCAAGATTCAAGGGCTGTGAAAATAAGCAAACGGTGTTGTGTGGTTGCTCTGCTGCTCTGGTTCTACAGTCAGTGGAGCTTGGTGAATTTTTTCATCTTTCCTTCTGAAATAGTTAATACAGTTCCAGACAGAGTCTACCTGAGTAGACTGAACTTGGTGGCCCTTTCTGGCCTGGCCTAGGGAACATCTCAAATCACTTCTGATGGGTCACTGCTTTGGCTTTTTTGTCCAGGTCTCATGTCCCATGCTCTGGTAGGACAGGTTTTACTGTCTTCTGGCTTTGTCTCTTTTCCATAATTTAAGTAGTTGTACCAATGCCGGACCTCACGGACATAGTCCTTTTACTCATTCTGAAATGTAAACAACATGCTGACCTGCCATTTAGCCTCTTTTCCCTGGTCACAGCTTGAATTCTGGAGCCACCCAATGTCCCCCCAAATGAAAGCTGAACTCTGAAGGAAACATTCAGGTTCTGTTGTCTCTAAGGAGAGGAAGAGACAGAAAAGTGTCCTTTTACCTTGAACTTTCCACATCATAGAGGCTAATTTTCAGGTACTGACTCTGTCAACCAGCCCCAACTTGGCCTCGGTTCCAGTGGAAATGACTATCACTGGTTAGAAAGAAGTTGGCATGCAATGACAAATGCTTTGCATCTAGAAAAGAGAAAAACAATACTGCCTTGAACTTTCCACATCATAGAGGCTAATTTTCAGGTACTGACTCTGTCAACCAGCCCCAAATTGGCCTCGGTTCCAGTGGAAATGACTATCACTGGTTAGAAAGAAGTAGGCATGCAATGACAAATGCTTTGCATCTAGAAAAGAGAAAAACAATACTGTTTTTTTAAAAAAATTTGGTCTGTTGATATTCTTCCTATGACATTTTGTCTTCTTGGAGCTTAGCTTCCTTTATATGGAATAAAGAGAATAAGATGCTGCCTTTTTTTTTTTCTCTAGAAAAAGTCCTTCTCAGCTCTGCTAGCAATTTAAATGCAGTGATCATACCCATTAGCTTCTATCATTGTTGTTAATTGTTATAACTGTTTTAGTTATTAGTGGTGTCATTATTGCTCTAGGTCCTCTGTCTGTTTTATGCTGAATATATTAGTGCTTTGCTTTTGAATTACCAGGCTTTATTTAGTGCAGAGCTACGTTTTTTGGAGAGACACTGAGAAATGCTGGCATTAAGCTTTATTCTTTTATTTTTCATTCCAAATGGACAGACTGGAAAAAAAAAATAATTAGATGGAATAATGTCCTCAAAATGAGAATGAGGATGTTTTGAATTAATTAAATGGTCAGAATGCTGTACCAGTTCAGATCTCAGACTGCTGCCAGAGTAGTGCAAACCTAAAGGAACCTAAATCCAGCCTACACAGGCAAGCCTCACTCTTGGGTTCTCAATTCCTCTCACTACTCTCAAGAAATCCAAGTCTCCCATGCATTCGCCTATTTATAGGACGAGCTGGCCACGTTTAGGGAGAAGCTGGACTAGCCCTGCAAACTTTGGAGTCTTCAAGTTCTTCTTGGGGCCAAGCTTCCGGAATGAAGCTCTCCTCAACCTTACCTCTTCCCCTCTTCAAGGTCTTTAACATGCCCTCAGTCACATTTTTGTTACACAACTAAAGCTTCAGAAGAGCCTTCCCCAACCCCTCAGACTATGCTAAATTCCCTATCAAATACAGTATCTTCAACTCCTCCTTCACAGACATAACACAATCATAAATAAATAAACTGTTTTACGGTGCCTCCCTCTCTAGAAGGTAGCCTTGAGAGCAGGGCCCGTGTGTGGCCAGTACAAAATTCCCAGTGTCCAGCATAGTCCCTGGCATTTAGTGAGTGCTGTGTACATGTTTGTTAAATGCTGAGGAATGAGTTAGTGAAGGTGCATGCACACATACACATAAATGCAAATCACACGTACGTTAAATAAGGAACCTGCAATACAGAGTCCAGTCTTGTCCAGCTAAGGAATTACTCCTCGTCGATTTCCTTAATACCACAAAACATCTATCTAGATAACAAGTCCAACCTCTTCCCAGTATTTAGCCCTTCATCCTGCTTGTTTTTCAGAGCTGTCTTGTAATGGTTCTAGTTCTGCTGATCCCTATCCTTGGGCTAGGCTAAACTGTCTCCTGCATTGCTGAACTCTATCTTCTTTTTTTTTTGTCTTTTTGTCTTTTTCCATGTCCGGCAACGGATCGCAACCCTCAGTGTCGCCCCCGTACCGGACCGGGGACCGGCAACGGGGGAGCGCCGCCGCGCTTCCCAAGCGGCGCACTTATCCAGTGCGCCACCGGGCCGGCCCTGAACTCTATCTTCTTTTGGCCTTCAGCACCGAAGGCCTTTTCTATCTTTATTTTTTTCCTGGAAAGCTTCTGTTTTCCTCCTTGCTTATTACTTTCCCTTTGATCTATTGTGCTTCTAGAATAGATCTCTTTCTGGGTATTCTCCTCAGGTCCCATATATACCCAACATCAAATCACTTTTTACATATATACCCAAAAGATACCCATAATCTTAGGAGCTATCCCACATCCTTCCCCAAAGTGACTAACTGCTAGGCCAAAAAGGCCAAGATGACTTTGTCAGTCTTCTTACCATTCAGAAATATCAAATTATGTTTTTAAAATCTATTTTTATAAAAACCATTTCTCTACCACATATAAACCCATGAAGAATATTGATGTCAATATACTTTTCATTCCTAAATTTAGTCAAAATCTTGGAGTGTGGGCCAGCCCGGTGGCGCACTGCACTAGTGCGCCACTTGGGAAGCGCAGCGGCGCTCCCGCCGAGGGTTCGGATCCCACATACAGACAAGTTCCCGCTCACTGGCTGAGCGAGGCGCGGGGGCAACGCCGAGGGTTGCGATCCCGTTGCCGGTCCCGGTCCGGTACGGGTGCGACACTGAGGGTTGCGATCCGTTGCCGGACACTGTAAAAGACAAAAAAAAAAAAAAAAATCTTGGAGTGATTAATCAATTCCATTACAATTGAAAATGCATTATTTTCTGAGAAAACTACTTTCACTTTTCAGGGACTGATACTTCTCTAATATTTCATTCACCGATGTCCTCAAAAATGTATGCTTTGTCTTTTCAATAATTAACTTTTTCCTCCCAATGTATTTTTCTCCCAAATATGTTCTTAACTCTGCAGTAGAACGTTTTCACTGTAGTTATCTTGATTGCTGACCTCTGTTGTCTACTGCATATGTGAACAATTTCCGTGTAAACATGCTTGAGTTTCTATATGGTTGACTTTTTTACTTCTATTTGCAATATCTGAGTCTTAATAGTTCTATTCTTCCCGTTTTTGTGCACTTTCAGATTCCTACTAAAGTTCTTTTCCAGAGACATACAGGGATTTTGTTTCCCTTTGCCTTTATTACTTGGATTGCTTATAAGTTAGAAATAAGTAAGAAAAAAGCAAATATAGCTAAGGCCTCTGAGCCCCCTCTGCCCACGTGCCCCCCATCCCCAGTGGCCAGTACCACCACTGCTCATGGGAGGGTCAAGACAAATGAAGGGAAAGGTAGAAATCTGTAGAATAGAGTCTCCCCAAATCAGATAAATTTTAATTAGAACCCAACTCCTGAATCCCATCAATCAAATTTCATCTTTGGTAGGTGCTTCACAGCTCTCATACACAGCGTCCTCAGGAACAGGGAGCATCCTGGTCTAGTGGGCATTAGCTCTCCTGCCATTCAAATCCCCAGATCCTCTCCCACTTTGTACTCTAGTGTTTAACCTTTCCGGGTAGAAGAAGATCAATACAAATTCTTCATTGTTAAGAATCGATGGCTGTCCTGTGGCATCATTGCCATCTAGTCTTGCTGAAAAGCCCAGTAAATCTCTCCCACTGCTTCTAAAGCTTAGTGTGTCGTCTTCAGTTGCTTTCATTTTTAATGCAGATCACTTTGGTTTCTTTTCCCCTGGGGGCTTGCAGATAAATCTTGGCAGACATGTTCAGGGTCTACAAATGAGATGCTGGAAAAGGGCCAGCCCACCCAGAATTTAGTTGTAATGGATGAGACACCCCCTTGGTTCCACTTAAAGACTGGGTTATTCACTTCAGTATTTATTGGTATTTACCTCATATAGTACCTGGTGGGAAGTGTCCAGGAAGAAGTTCCTGTGTTACAGAGGAGGCCCAAATGTGAGCTGCGATGCAGAAGCATGCTGGCTGACCCAGCCTCTCTTGTAAATAGGCAGAAGTCAGGGACTTATCCTGTTCCTTCAGATGCATAATGAAGAGAAGTGAGAGAGTGTTTAGATGCCCTGTATCAAGAAAATCTGGTGGGAAACCTCTTTGTGTGGCTTACTTACAAACCAAGTGAAAAATTACCTGTCTGATTTTCTTTTATTAATAAATAAGTGTATTTACCACATTGTCGAGCAGCATCCTACTAGGGGTGATCTGTAAATATTTAATGTTAGTTAATTATCTCCTTCTCCCATAGTCCTTTGCTCACACTGAGTGTTTGGCTGTATCTCATCTGGACCCCCCTTGAATCTTAGGTTTCCTAGGGGCATATCAGAATCCTGGTTTCTATTTGCAGTAAAAATGTGGCATCTTGGGCCAGCCCGTGGCTCACTCGGGAGAGTGCGGTGCTGATAACACCACGGCCACGGGTTCGGATCCCATATAGGGATGACCGGTTTGCTCACTGGCTGAGCGTGGTGCTGACAACACCAAGCCAAGGGTTAAGATCCCCTTGCCGGTCATCTTGTTAAAAAAAAAAAAATGTGGCATCTTGGAAAAGACAGAGTCCTTTTAACCTTGATTTCTCCTCTCTTTGATCAGTGGACTATGCCAATTATTACCAGGGCCTGTGGGATTGCCATGGTGACCAGCCAGATGAACTGTCCTTCCAACGCGGTGACCTCATCCGCATTCTGAGCAAGGTAAGGACGTACAGTGTGGGGTCTGGATCAAAAGTCAATTTTTTTCACTATTGATGATGATGTCACCATACCAGAATTATTCCAAGTCATACACTTCTCTCTCTGTGCTACATGGCTCCCTCACACATACAGTAAATTCCCATTTAATTATAACTGTTAGGGGAAAGTTTTAATTGAAAACTCAGTTTCAGGAACTAATTTTCAAATTTAAAAGTACTATAAAGTAGATACAATAACTGAAACTATGCCAATCAAAATGTGATCTGTTTCAGGGACTCGTGCTTAAAGGTCATCACTATGTATATAATTTATTACCATATAATACTATTCAAAACATTCTGGCTAGGTAAGTGGCCTTTTTATTTCATTTATAAGTAAACAAGACTGTAATATGGGGGAGGAGTCAGAGTGGGTTATCTCAATTGGTTTGAGCAAGTGCTGATAAGGCCAAGATAGTGAATGCAATCCCACACAGGGCAACGAATTTATGCTCTTCGTCAGTCACAAGTTTACCCCTAGCCCTAGCTACCCATCTGACAAATTGTTGATCATAAAGGAACTGGGTTTTAAAAAAAAAAGATGGATTATGTATTATTGCAGATCCATCACTGATGTGCAGAACATTCAGAACTCATGTGAACAGCATTCAGAACTCATGGGCTACAGTTTGGGAGATCAGTAATGAAAGACAACACGTATTCCATAGGTAGGCTAAGATAATAGGTTCTGTCCCTGAAAGAACTTTTTAAAACGTCCACTCTCTATGCAGTCAATATCTACAAACGCATTTTTGAATAGGCGTAATTTGTTCTTTAATTGCTGAGTATGTAGATTTCATAAAGAAAAATCAAAAACCCAATGTGCTATGCACCCGTCATTTACCATTTCTCTTTATTTTATGTATTTTACTGCCTTGGCCAAGGTTTTGTCTTGGTTTGAAATAGACCATAAGCTCCTTAGGAAACAGACCAAGTCTAACCCAAGGTACCTTTCAGTGGTTCCAACAAATCAGGCCCCTTTAAACAAGGACTAAATTCACATCCTACCCTTTGTAAGACAGTGGGAGGTCTGCAGTCCCTGCTGAGTAAGACCACAATCTTCTAGTGATTTCTCCTGGTTTCCTAACTCAGTTCCAACCCTAGTACCATTTTGGTGCAGCTCCAATGCACCAAGAATAAATTGGAAACAAAGAAGGGAGTGGACGTTGGCCTGATTGGTATTTCAAATGCCCGAAAGCAAGGTTTGCCGTGTAATAGAATTTGTGTACATTACCACGCTGGCATTACAGGGGTAATCGAGTTATCCACTCAGGTGTGACCAGGCCTCTGTTTGCCCAGAGCCTGCAGGTGAACAAATTAACTGTTTACATTGTCTGGAGGTGCCTGCAGCAGGAGGGGGGAAGAACAGAGCCAGACTGTCTGCTGGCCTTCTCTCTCTGTCATGATTATTTTGTTTGTTTTGCATGTCTTTTGCCTTTGTTAATGGCTTCACACTGGGGATCCCTTTCCTCCAGTTAGAAAGGGTTGTGCAGGTGACCTGTCCTGTCCTGCAGTAGAGAGCTGTCTGTGGTTACCGCAGCTATTGTATTTTTAAAAGATCCCAAAGAACTGGGGAACCAACCTCACCTGGGTTTTTTTGTTTGTTTGTTTTTTAAATCAGCCCCTCTTCCCTTCCTTCATTACTAAAAGCAAATATATCAGAGTTTAATTCAGTGAGAATACCTTGCCATTCTAGTTCTGTCAACTTCTTTCTCCACAGTTTTGGAAGTTTCTGTGTCCATTTTCAACCCTTAACATTGTAGTAGCCCATTTCTTCCCCCAAAAGCTACAGCAGCTGCCTCCTTCCCCCTATTGCTAACCCCGTGTATCAGAGGAGGAAACGAGAAGCTAGGAATTCAACTGCACTTTCCCTTAAAAAGCTTCATTCCAGTTCGCGTTGGATTGGGGACCATTTGAGATTGGATTTACTTTCATTACATCACCTAACTCAATAAGAGTCCTTGGACAGGAAGGAGCCTTAAAAGACCACCCAATTCATTCATTCCCTTGCCTTTAAGAAGCACAGATGCTAGAAAGCTCCATTTTACTTTGCTCTCTGGCCAGTAGAACCTTTGTTGGACAAGAAAGCCCTGCTGTTGTAGGAATCTGGGGACGTCTGTTTCCCTGGGAAACACAAGATGCAACCGTAAACAGATCAGCCTACCTGGACTTGTTTCGTCACTGGTAAAAGGAGGGAGTTGCATCAGATATCATCAAAGGCTCCTTCCACCTCGAACATTCTTATTCAAACATGGCGTGCCTGACACTGCAAAACTGCTAAGTCCCACACACAGATGGGTTTTAGCTTTAATTCCTTACTCAGTTTAAGCAAACAAAAATTCTAATTACCAGGTCTTCTGTTCTTAGCCCTCAAAATGCATCTGGTTTCCCCCCCTTTCTTTGTCTGATAAAAGAAACGTTCTGAAGAGGAGGGGCAGGCTAGAGGACAGGAAGCTGTCCCCAGACAGAGAAGTGGGATGGAGGAGGCAGGGGACAGGAAGAATGACAGCTTTTGTCGTCAGCCTCCCATCCCCCCTGCTGTTTCTTAAGTCACCCAACCTTGAATCCTAGGGCCAAACTCAGGAGAACCTTTTAGTCTTGCCTTCGGGCAGGAATGACCCCAGAACGATGGAGGAGGCAGGGGACAGGAAGAATGACAGCTTTTGTCGTCAGCCTCCCATCCCCCCTGATGTTTCTTAAGTCACCCAACCTTGAATCCTAGGGCCAAACTCAGGAGAACCTTTTAGTCTTGCCTTCGGGCAGGAATGACCCCAGAAAGACAGCTATTCATCCTTTTTCCGAAAAAATTCTCTAGGGAAGATGATTGGCTGGACAAGAAAGATGCACCCCCTAGATAACCAAATGCCTGTCACCTGTCCTGTTTTCTGGGAAGCAAGTAAGTGCCAATAACAGATGGGTTATTTATGTGACCTTGGGCAAAAAGCACTTAATCTTGAAAATCCTCAGTTTCCTCATCTGTAAAAATTAGGATAATTTCTATTCACAGTGTTGTTGTGATGCTTACATTTGAGAATTTGTGTAGAGAGGGGCCTGGCATCTAGGAAATGGAAACTATTTTTATATTCCTCTCCTTTTTCACTAATAATAAAGTAAATCGTTTGGATCAGTGTTGGGCACATACTAGGAGTTCAATAAATTATTGGTGAATTGGGAGAGAAAGAGTGGCCTGTCTTGCCACCAACTTTTCATAGAGATGCTCTGAAGCACAAGAGGCTGTCACCTGGATATAGAAAACTACCCAGTGAAGAGGCCTGCATGGAAACTCACCATGCCTTTCCTGCCTTGAGAGATTTTTGTCACCAATATTCAAGATTCTTCAAACTTCTCTTCGAGGAGAGGCTGGAGCCATGTATCCAAGCTCTGAAACAGTAACCAATGGCACAGTCAGCAGGAGGACACCCGCTGACCTCCCTGCAACGCGTCCATACATTCCTAGGCCCCATGCAGCTTCATGACCGTTTAATTCACTGAGTTCCAATTTGGGCCTTAAAATATATTAAGGGAAATTTTAATAACGAAGCAGATCTCTGCATCCAGCGGATGTTCCTGCATTCCTTTTGGGCCCAGATATTTCTGAACAGCTTTTTCTGGGGAGGGACAGAGCTTTCCTTCCTCCCTGGAGCCAGGACGCAGCTCAGGCCACAGCGGGGTGTTTAGCGCTCTTCAGTGGCTCCAGATTGTGGCGCTGGTGCAGGTCTCCTCATACGTAACCGATGGCTCCTGAGAGCCTGCCGCTCAATAAATTACTTCCCACGATGCCGGCGACCACCACAGAATTCAAGTTTGAATAGAGCAGGAAAAAGGTGTTTGAAAGGCCTGTTCACTCAGCTGCATTTTAATTTCCTTTTCAATCTTGTCCCAATTAATTTCACAGAATTAATCTCACAGAAGCAAACTCGGCAGCACTGAGGCTGCGGTTTTAGTGTGGCAGTCGCTCTGCCTGAACATGAAATAGGAGCTAATATAAAAATCCATCTGCTGTGTTTGAAATACACACCGGCTGCTCCTCAGTCCTGTCTGACATTCCAAACATCAACAGCGGGGAAAAGTGATTTGGGGGTTACTGGCCATCAGCACTTGGCAGGGGTTCAACAACAGGTGTACTCCAAAAATCCATTCCGCCTGGGCACCGGGCATGACAGGGCAGGTGCTGAATCACCCTCTGTGCGGTAATGCTGTGCCCTGGCTTAGTTCCTTTTATCTGAGGATCGCAAGGCCCCTTTGTGAACCAGCACCGCTATGGTTACTTGTTATAAGTGGGAGAAAGAAAGGTAAGAAGCCTCTTTTTGGATAAGACCAACTCACCAGTCCCAGCTTTCAGAAGAGTGGCCTTGTCTTTCTGGCTCCGAGGTCTTTCACTTTCTAAAGAATAAAGGTGCCTATTCCACTAGGAGAGATAACTCGTAAAACGCCCATTTAAAAAACAAGCCTCCTGTTCCAAAAGTAATTCATGTTGCTAACACTAGCTGTGCAGCAGATAAGGGTGAATTAAAGAGAGAAGGAAAGAATAACTTTCTGAATGGACTAGAAAGGCGAACCGTCCCTGGATGAGGTTTTCCATTTAAGGTAAACTGAGCCAGCCAGTAGGATACTTCTCTCTGGCTTGGGTTGTATGCCTCATGAATTGGTCTTATCTAAGGTCTTATCTAGAGCCTAATTTCCATGGAAATCAGCCTTGGAGCAACAAGTTGGGCACCACATAAGTTTTGCACTTACATGGTGGCTTAGCTGGGGTGAGAAGGTATTCTCGTGGGCTCAAACACACCAGGCTTCACTGCTGATGCAGTTGATATGAAAACAGGGGGCCTCACAGACAAGGTCAAGTTTAACATGGAACACATGATGCTGTCATGTGCCATGGGCCTTATATGGACGAAGATGGACAGACTCTGTCACCCTGAGTTGGAGCTACTAAAACTCAGACTGGCTCCTGGCTCCAAA